GCAGCAGCAACAGAAACAGCAGCAGCAGCAGCAGCAGCAACTGCTGCTGCTGCTGCTACCACCCACGCCGTCGCTGCTGCTGTGGGTCTGCGGCTGCTCCCACTGCTGCACCTACTGCCACTGCTACTGCCGCTCCCGCTGCTGCTGCTGCTGCTGCTGCTGGTGCTGCTGCTGCTGCTGCTGCTGCTGCTGCTTGCCTTGAGTTGGTCATAGAGTTCTTTGGCAATGAAGTAGCCATGAAGATAACGAGTGACTAAAGGGCTGCCAATGAGGTGCTGCGCATTTAGCTGCTGCAGCTGCTGCTCAGTTAAGAACTGCAGCGAAGAAAATGCTGCTGCTGCTGCTGCTGCTGCGCTCCCGGGCTGCTGCTGCTCCTCCAGCTCCTCCGTCAAACTGTCCAGCATGGAACACCACCTTAGCAGCAGCAGCAGCAGCAGCAGCAGAAGCAAGAGCAGCAGCAGCAGCAAAGGACGCAGTGAGAGCGTCTTCAGGCGTGAGCATCTGCACCCCAAACACTCAACCCTAACACCAAATCCTAAACCCTAAACCCTAAACCCTAAACCCTAAACCCTACTTGGGGGCGAGGCCTAGAGAAGGGACAAAGTATGCTGCCATTTGTCTGTGGTCTGTCGAGGCCAGGAATAAACCCGAATTTCCAAAAACAGAAAATGAAGTAAAGCGGACAACTCGCTGCTGCTGCTGCTGCTGCCGCTGCTGCTGCTGCTGCTCCTCCTTGTCGTTGCGGGGCGCCATCGGGTTTTCCCACACAAGAGGGGCCTCGATGCTCGCCAACAGTTTGCTGCTGCTGCTGCTGCTGCTGCTGCTGCTGTCGGAGTTGCCCGGTGTCCAGACTTTGATGGAGACGCCGTCGCAGCTTGCGATTCTGCTGGTTGCAGCAGCAGCAGCTGCTGCTGCTGCTTCTGCTGCAGGGTTCCCCTCAGCTGCTGCTGCTGCTGCTGCTGCAGGCTGCTGCTGCAGCCACTGGAGCGTGTTGACGGGGGAGAAGTTCCTGTGGCTGAAGGCCCCCAAAGGCTTCGGAGATCGCAAATCAAATAATAAACATAATCCATTTGAAGTGCCAATCGCAATTTCTAAAGAAGTTGGAGAAAACGCTGCTGCAGTGACTGAGCTGTACGTACACCCCAGAGGCGCAGCACCCGGTTGGTTCAGAAAACGGGAAACGAACGCGAAAACGGCGAATAAACCCTTTTTAAACTTCTAAAATTCAAATTAATTCATTTATTTCGTTTATTTTGATCCAAAAAACTCTTTTTAACGACCTTTTTCCCCTTTTTTCAAGTGACAAACCTCGAAACTTCGCCCGCGCGCAACACCGCCGCGGACCGCCCCGTCCGGATGTCGAAACACTCCAAAATTCCTTTTTCGCTGAAGTCCACAAATGGCATTAATGGCATTTAATTAAATTAAAACAATTAAATAACAATTTGTGGCATTTAATTGCATTTAAAACAGTAAAATTAACAATTAATGGCATTTAGTTGCACTTGGAAAGAATAATTGAGAAAAAATGACAATTAATGGCATTTATTTGACTCTGAAAAAGGTAATTAACAAAAATGGCAATTAATTGCATTTTATTAAATTAAAAATCAACAAAATTAACAATTAATGGCATTTTGTTGAATCCTTTTAAATAAATTAAACAGTTAATGGCATGTAACTGCATTTAAAAACAATAATGGCATTTCGTTTGTTTGAAAAAGATTAATTTGAGAAACAAGATATTAATGGCATTTATATGAGTTTTAAAAGAGTAATTAACAAAAATGGCAATTAATGGCATTTAATTGAACTTGAAAATAATAGAATAAACGATTAATGGCATTTGATTGAACTTAAAAATAATAAAGGATAATCATTAATGACATTAAAAGAATAATTAACAAAAGTGGCAATTAATGGCATTAAAATGAAAACGAAAAGAAACAAAAAGAAATAAAAAGAAATGAAAGAAATAAAAGGAAATAAAAGGAATAAAAGAAATAAAAGAAATAAAAGAAATAAAAAAGAAATAAAAAATTAAAAATAAACAAAGAAAACAAATGGCAAAAAGTGGACCAAAAGAAGGCGAAGAAAAAGCAAAAAAAATAAAGCAAAACAAAACGCAATTAAAGTAATTAAACTAAACTGAATTAAATAAATTAAATAAGTTAAATTAAATAAATTAAATTAAATAAATTAAATTAATTAAATTAAATTAAATTAATTAAATTAAATTAATTAAATAAAATGAAATAAACAAACCCTCCAACTGCCAGCAGCGGCAGCAGCTCCGAATGGCAGCAGCAAAAGCCAACAGAGGAGCAGCAAATTAAAGGCTCGAGAAAAAGGCCAGACTCGAGGTCTAGCATGTAAACCCTGCTGCTGCTGCTGCTGCTGCTGCTGCTGCTGCTGCTGCTGCTGCTGCTGCTGCTGCTGCTGTTGCGGGAGGAGGGGCGCGGGTTGCTGCTGCTGCTGCTGCAGCAGAGAGTGGCGGACCACGGCAGGTAAGTCAAACTCGTCCCTTCAGTTGGCACCCGCAGCTGCATGCAACACAAACCCTAAACCCTAAACCCTAAACCCTAAACCCTGAACCCTAAACCCCAAACCCCAAACCCCAAACCCCAAGGCCCAAACCCCAAACCCTAAACTCTAAACGCTAAACCCCAAACCCCAGACCCTAAACCCTAAACCCTAAACCCTAAACCCTAAACCCTAAACCCTAAACCCTCACCCTGTGGTGCCTGCCTCCCTGCGCGTGGAGTTCAATCCATCTGTTGTTTTCCAAAATTGCAAATTTGGAAAAGTCTTCGGATAAAAAATAAATGTCTTTTGGTTCGCTGTCGAGGCCCCGCTGGAACTTCAGCCCCAGACTCCCCACATCAAACACCCGCACCTGCAGCAGCAGCAGCAGCAGCAGCAGCAGCAGCAGCAGCAGGGGCAGCGGCAGCGGGAGGGGTGCGGAGGCAGTAAGCGCAGAGGGCCAAGCAGCAGCAACACGGCGCAGGAAACAGCAGCAGCGGGAGCAGGTGAAACAACAGCAGCAGCAGCAGCAGCAGCAGCAGCAGCAGCAACAGCAGCAGCAGCAGCAACAGCAGCAGCAGCAACAGCAGCAGCAGCAACAGCAGCAGAAAAAGGAGAAAAAATGAATCGTTAGAAACGAGAACAAGCAGCGGAGGCTTTCAGCTAGTCTAAAGCCCGTAGAAGGCGTGCGCTCAGTAGACCGCCAAACGAGGGTTTAGGGTTTAGGGTTTAGGGTTTAGGTTTTGCTTGCCTGGGGCGGGTAAACCCCCGTGGCTGCGATGTAGTTGAGGTCTGGGCTAACTCGGATTTTGGAGGAAGCAGCAGGGAACTCGAAGTCCTGCAGCAGCACCACATCCTGCTGCTGCTGCTGCTGCTGCTGCTGCTGCTGCTGCTGCTGCTTCCTGCGGCGCTGCCGGTCCCGCTGCCGCTCGAAGACACTGACACCCCCGAAGCCGCTTAAGTCATAAACAGCAGCACCAACTGCTGTTAGAGTCCGCAGCACCATCTGCAGAAGCAAAAATTATGCTGCTGCTGCTGCTGCTGCGGCTGCGGTTGGTGCTGCGATTGCTGCTGCTGCCGCCGCTGCTCCTGCTGCTGCTCCTGCTGCTGCGCCGCAAGGAGGAAACTGGTGAAGGCTGCTGCGCTGCAAGAGAGGGGCGAACTGCTGCTGCTGCTGCTGCTGCTGTTGCTGCTGCTGATTAGGTCCTTCGGTCTATATTATCTTGGATTCCTAGGTGTCTGTACACCTCGAAGAATTTAAGCTGGCGAAGCGCTGCTGCTGCTGCTGCTGCTGCTCTTTGTGCTGCAGCTCTTTGTGCTGCTGCTCTCGATGCTGCTGCCGCTGCTGCTGCTGCTGCTCTTGCTGCTGCTGCTGCAGCTCTCCGTCAGCTGCTTTTAAATAAAAAAGAAAGTAGTAACAGCGGCAGATCTGTACCCTAATCGCGCTGGGGGGCCCCGGGGGCCCCCGGGCCCCACACTTCCGGGGGCCCCAGTGGCCTCACTGTGGGCCCCTCGGGTCTTCTGAAGCGCCATTTTCTGTGGAGTTTGTTCTAAAAGGATTTAATTTAAATAAATATTTAAATTTAAGTGCAAAAAGAAGAAAAATGGCATTTATTTGTTCATTTTTTGACAAAAATGTCGAAAATGCGAAAGAATTGCAGCAGCGGCTACGTTCAATACTTCCGTACTTCGAGGAATGCGAACGGGCAAAAACAACTTCTCGAAAATCTCTCTTCTTTGGCACTATTTTCTCCTTTTTCTTCATTTTGATTTAATTTTAAATTAATTTTAATTTAATTTTAATTTTATTTTAAGTTAATTTTATTTTTGTGCGCTTTAATACCGCAAATGCCTCAATTAGGAGCTGAGAAACGGGAAGAAGTGACAGTAGTTGGGCGCTGGCTGCGGGGAGTCCGCGAAAAGTGCACAATTGACGAAAAAAAGGCCAAAAGTGGTGCATTAAAAGTGAAATAAATATTATTAGATTAAAAATAAATAAATAAGAGTTATTTATTTGCAGAAAATGCGAAAATGCGAGCGAAATGCGCCAAATGGCACTTTCTGGTAGTCCAAGAAACCCCAAATGAGTGGCTGGAGGAAAGGAAAAATGAAGAATAAAATAAAAGGCATTAAATGGCAAATAATTAAAAAATAAAAAGGAAAATAATTAAAAGATAAAATGGCAAATAATAAAAAGAATATAAATGACAAAAAGACAAAATGGTAAATAATAAAAAGGAAAAAAGGCGAGGAAATGAAAAATAAAAGAAGCGCTTTTGCCAGCTTTTGTTTCGGGTTTTTTCGGGCAATTTGAGGTCCTTTTAAGCTTCTTTTAAAGCCTTTTTGAATCCATTTATTCCAAAGTTTGATTAAAATGGAAAACAAATGCCATTTTAGTTCAAAATTTGATTTAAAACAAAAAGAAATGCCATTTTAGTCAAATTTGAAGTTTATTTTCTTTGTTTCTTTTCTTCGAAAACTTTTCTGAAGTTAGCGGAGCAGAATGAGGACTGTATAATTCCTTTTAAATAATATAGGGGCCCCTTTGGGGCCCTTTTAAGTCTCTTTTAAGGCCCTTTTCAAGATCTTTTTAGGCCAGTTAAAGGCACTTTTGAGGCCCCTTTTAGGGACTTTTAAAAGCCTTTTTAGGGCCCTTTTGAAGACTTTTTGGGGCTCTTTTCCTGTTTCTCTATAACTCTTTTTTATCCCCCTTGAGGCTTTTTGAAACTCCTTTATAAGTCTTCTTTAGGCCATTTTAATTCCCTTTTTGACCTTCTTTAGACGCGTTTTGGATCCATTTTATTTTGAACCTTTCTAAACACCTCCTAGGTCTTCTTCGGACCCGTTTTAAAACTCTTTTTGATTTTTTTGAGACCCTTTTTAAAGTCCTTTTTTAATATTTTTGAGACAACTTTTAGATCTTTTTCAGATCCTTTTAAGACCCCTTTTTGATCTTTTTTTCGATCTTTCTTGGACATTTTTAAGATCCATTCAAGCTGCACCTTAAATACTTTTTACATCTTTTTTAAATCTGTTTTAGACCCTTTTAGATCTATTTTAGACCTTTTTAGATCTTTTTTTTAATCTCTTCAAGACTTTTTTTAGATACTTTCAAAGAGAGTCTTTTTAGACTTTTTCTAGACCCCTTCTTGGTCTTCTTTAAATCTTTTCAAAATCCTTTTTTATCTTTTTTGAAACTTTTCAAGACCTATTTTGGACCTTTTTTAAACCCCTCTTTGGCGGTTTGCTGCTGCTGCATTTGCTGCTGCAGCTGCTGCTGCTCCATTTGCTGCTGCAGTTGCTGCTGCTGCAGTTGCTGCTGCTGCAGCTGCTGCTGCAGAATTGGGACTTTGTCTGCTTGCCCCGTCTCTGGGGCTTGGCCCATCTTGGGCTTTTAATTTAAATTCATTTAAAGACATTAAATGTAAAAACAAAAGTCCTGAAAGAGCAAAATGTCCCAAAGATACTTGTTAGGATTTAGGGTTTAGGGTTTAGGGTTTTGGGTTGTCGCCATAGTCCTGTTTGTGGGGCTTCTCTGCCTAGATGTGCATTTTGCGTCTTTGCGTTCGCGCTTTTATATTTATTTATTAAAATAATAATTATTGGAATAAATAATTATTAAAATAAACAATTATTAAAAAAACAATTATTAAAATAAATATTTATTAAAATAAAAAACAAATAATTTCATTTGTTGCGAAACGCATGCACTTGGGGGTCTTCCCTGCTGCAGCTCTCTGCAGCTTCGGGGGAGCGACTTTTCGCGTTTTTGCAAAATTCAGTTTATAATATTAAAATAAATATAAAGTAAATATAAAATAATATAAAATAAACATAAAATAAATTAAAAAACTCATTAAAATGCCCTTCCGCGGTGTCCCGGATGTGCAGCTTTTAAGTCTGGTGTCTGTACACCTGGGGTGTCTGTACACCTGAGGTGTCTGTACACCTGAGGTGTACGTACACCTCAGGTGTACAGACACCGCACGGAGAGGCAAGGGCCCCTGGCTGCATTTCGTTGGAGTTTTTCATTAAAAAAGAATATTTAATTAAAATAGATTTAATTTTTATTCAAGATTGCCAAAGTGCGAAGAAAATGTCTCCACTCCACGCCTCCAGGTGTACATACACCTGATTTGCTGTTACTTGCCTCAGACGTGCCACGCCTCTCCTGCTGCTGCTGCTGCTAATGCTGCTGCTGCTGCTACTCAAGGGTTTAGGGTTTACCCATATATATATATATATATAGAGGTAAAGAGCCACTCAACTGGCACAGCGATGGTCTGCTGCGCAAGGGGAATTAGGGTTTAGGGTTTAGGGTTTATCAGATAAGTAAAACTGAAAAGACCCAAAAGCTCTCTCGTCAGCCATTTGGGGGAAGCGGGCTGCACAGCACGCGCGCTGCTGCTGCTGTTGCTGCTGCAGCGTTGCAGCAGCAACAGGATCAGCAGCGTCAGCAGCTACTGCAGCAGCAAAAGCAGCAGAAGCAGCAGCGGCCCCAACGCAGCTCATTTGGGGGCCCCCAAAGCCTTCAATTTATCATATTTGGGGGCCCTCCTTAAGCCTAATCCAGCTGCCTTGGGGGCCCCCTTGGGGGCCCCCTAGGGCCCCACTCCACTCAGCGGGGGGCCCCCAGGGGCCCCTCTGGGGCCCCCAATAATTTTTTCTTTGGGGCCTCCTGAGGCCCCCATTAATATTTGCTTGGGGGCCCCCTGGGGCCCCCGTTCATAGTTTTCTTGGGGGCCCCCTAAGGCCCCAGTGCCCTCTATTGGGGGCCCCTAGGGCCCCCAATGTATTCACTGGGGGGCCCCTCGGGGCCCTCCTTTGGGGGCCCCCTGGGGCCCCCATTCAGAGTTTCTGTGGGGGCCCCCCAGTGCTGCAGGGGGGCCCCGTAGGGGCCTCCCTTGGGGGAGATGATTTGGAGGATTTGTGCTGCTGCTGCTGGTGATATATGGTTAGAAAGAATACTTTTGGACTTTATATTCATTTAAATAATTGTTTATAAAAGATTTATTTTTTGTTTTTGAGTTTAAATGGCAAATTGGATCGGGTTTGCTTTTGCGGGAGGCGGCTGCGTCAGGTATACGTACACCCCAAGTTGCTGCGGAGCGCGACGGGCGGCCGGGGAAAAAGGCGGAAAAGGCTTTTTAAATTTGATCTAAAAAAGAAAAATAATAAAAAAGAATTTATTTAAATGAATAATAAAGGCAGAAAGCCGGGATTTTGCAGCATGCAACAGGGTTTTCAGCGTCTGCTGCTGCTGCTGCTGTTGCTGCTGCTGCTGCTGGTAAGCCCCAAATTGCGTCTCGATTGCTGCCATTTGTTGTTTTTGAGGTTCTTTTTATTGTCTTTTTATCTTTTTATCTCCCTGGTCTTTAAACTCCTTTCTTTTGAGCCGAAAAAGCGGAGCAGAGGCGCCGCAGCTGCTGCTGCTGCTGCTGCTGCTGCTGCAGCCACCGTCTCGAGGGTTATTTGCTCTCTGGCCGATCACTGCAGTCTTGTAATTTGTAGTTCTAGACCACTTCGCAGCGTGGGGCGGGGTTGCGGGCCAAACCCTAAACCCTAAACCCTAAACCCTAAACCCTAAACCCTTTTCTCTAGCGGCCGCTCACGGGGGCGGAGGAGGCCACCCTTTGCTGCTTTTATTTTCCCCCCTTTTCGTGTTTTCATCTTTTGAGTTTTTCTTTTTTGCTTCCCTTTTTATTTGTCTCTTTGTCTTTCGGCCTTCTTTCTGGCAGATTGTTGTTTATTGTTATTTGTTTCTTTTGTTTCCCTTTTTGTTCTCTGCTGCTGCAACAGCAGCAGCAGTAGCAGGCGGCAGCCACGGCGGCGCCGGGACTGGCAGCAGCAACAGCAGCAGCAGCAACAGCAGCAGCAACAGCAGCAGCAGCAACAGCAGCAGCAGCAGCAACAGCAGCAGCAGCAGCAACCGCAGCAGCAGCAGCAGCAGCAACAGCAGCAGCAGCAGCAACAGCAGCAACAGCAGGAGCAACCGCAGCAGCAGCAGCAACAGCACAAGATGAAGGGTGCTGCTGAGGAAGCTGCTGCTGGAGACTCTTTGGCTGCAAACGGAACAGCCAAAGGGCGCAGCAAAGACACGTCTAGCAGCAGCAGCAGCAGCAGCAGCAGGGATAAAAGCAAGACGCGGCACAGCAGCGGCAGCAGCAGCAGCAGCAGCAAAAGGCGCGACAGCAGGAAGGAGAAGAGACACAAGGAGAAGAAAAGAGGCGACAGAGAAAGAGACAGAGAAAAAGACAAAAAGAGCAGCAGCAGCAGCAGCAGCAAAAGCAGCAAACAAAGAGATGGCTCTCCTGCGCCGCTGAAGAGGCAGGAAAAGAGCAGCAGTCGCCGCCACCGCAGCAGCAGCAGCAGCAGCAGCCGCAGACGTAGCAGCAGGAAGCACCGGAGCAAACACAGCAGCAGCCCAGAGCACCGCAGGGGACGCAGCAGCAGACACAGCAGCAGCAGCAGCAGCAGCAGCAAGAGGAAGAGGCACTCCAGCAGCCAGAGAGACAGAGGCGGAGACGCCAAACGAATACACAAGACTTCTCAAGGCGCAGCAGCAGCAACTGCTGCTGCTGCTGCTGCTGCGCCTGCAGCAGCAGCTGCAGCAGCAGCCAAGCCGGCTGTCTCCGCCTCGACCGCGCCTGATCATGCTGCAGTGCTGCAGTCAGCAGCAGCAGCAGCAGCAGCAGCAGCACCAACAAAAGCAGCAGCGTTGCCATCAACAGCAGCAGCAACATCTCCATCAACAGCAGCAGCAGCGTCAGTAGCAGCAGCAGCAGCAGCACCAGCAGCAGCAGCAGCAGCACCAGCCGCAGCAGCAGCAGCAGCAGCAAAGAGAAGGACAGGGGCGCAGCAGCAAAGAGCAGTGGACTCGTCGCCACCCAGAGGGGGCATGCGCTACACAGTAAGTTTAGAGTTTAGGGTTTAGGGTTTAGGGTTTAGGGTTTAGGGTTTCTGAATTCGTTTTCTCTGGGCTTTGCACTTGACGTCCACTTACTTCTATTTGTTCACTTGTATATTATTGTTCATTTATTTTTTTAAATATTTATTTATTTATTTATAAAATAAAAAAAAAAATAAATTAATAAAAACAAGTTAGTTTCTTTTTGCTGCTGCTGCAGTCCCGGAGCAGATCTCCTGGGCAGCAGCGGCGCTCTCCTTCCTACGGGGCCTACCGCAGCGTATCTGGAGACTGCAGCAGCAGCAGCAGCAGCAGCAGCAGCAGCAGCAGCAGCAGCGGCCTGAATATGAATGATGACGCTTTCGAGGAGGGCGAAGAAGAAGATGAAGATGAGGCTTTCGACCTTTCTCTCACTGGTCAGCCAGCTAGCCAGCTAGCTAGCTAGCTAGCCAGCCACATAGCTAGCTAGCTAGCGAGCCATATAGCTAGCCAGCTAGCTAGCTAGCTAGTCAAAGTAGCTGAGTTGTGTTCTTTTGGGGCCAAAGGCGGACTTCAGATTATCTTTAGGGACATTTAAAAGAAGCGGAGAGAGAGCCAAAAAGGGTTTTTAGAGGGTTTGAAAGAGAGGGTTTTTAAAACATCAAAAGAGGGTTTGGAAACACCATAAAAGGGTTTGAAAATGGTTGTTTTGCTGCTGCAGGCGGCCGCTTCTACGAGCTGCTGGAGCAGCAAGTCACTTGCGTCTCCGTGGGGGGCCCTTTGCCGATTCCAGAGCCAGTGGAGACTTTAGAAGACTGCCTGGCCAGCAGCAGCAGCAGCAGCAGCAGCAGCAGCAGCAGCAGCAACGGGGGGGGGCTGCTGGCGCCGCTGGTGGTGGAGAACTTGAAGAAGATGAAGTGCAAGTGGCTGCTGCCGATTCAGCGGTTTGCGTTTCCTGCTGCAGCAGCAAACCACGATTTGTTGGCTAGAGCAGCAACAGGCTGCGGCAAAACCCTAGCTTTTTTGGCTCCTCTTGTTTCGAAGTCTCTTTCTTTCAAGGGTTTGTTCAGGCCCCACTTCCCCGGCAGCCACGCCCAGGTGCGCCGCAAACTCTTTTTCAGGGTTTGCGCCAAACCCCCAAACCCTGAATTAGGGTTTGAACCAACCCCGAAACCCTGAATTAGGGTTTGCAACGCACAAAACACCCCGAACCCTCGAGACGCCGCGCAGTCACCCTCTCACTCCCTTTTAATTCATTTATCCAAATAAAATAAATAAATAAATAAAATAAATTGATAAAATAAATAAATTAATAAATTAAATAATAAATAAACAATTTGAATCAATTTGTTTTTAATCTCGCTTTGGCTGGGGCCTGCCGGCAAGTCGCAATTGAAGTTCCTTTTGACAAAAGAAATGCATTTTGAAGGGTCTTTTTATATTTTAAAAAGAGAAGCAAATAAAATTAAATAATAAAATTAATAAAATAATAAATAAATAAATAAAATGAGTAAAATAAATGAAAATGAAATTCGAAATTCGGGTGTATGCGCAGGCCTCTCCGGTGTCTGTGGTGCTGTGCCCCACTCGCGAGCTGGCGATGCAAATTGACGAACAGGTCAGAAATGGGTTATTTTTACTTCTTTTTTTCCGTTTTTTTCAAATAAATGATTCTAAGAATCCCAAAACTCTTCAAAACCTCACAAAGGCTTCTTTTAGAAGCTTTTCGCCGTTCTATTTGACCCTTTTCAAACCCTTTTTCGTGGAATTTGCTTTTTTCTCCGTTTCGGGGTCTTATCGTGTGTTTTGGGGGGCCCTGAGGGTCCTTTTCAAACCCTTTTAAGTGTTTTAAAACCCTTCGGGGCCCCTCAAAACCCTTTGGGGTTTTTAGAAGCTCTTTTGGGCCTTTTAAAACCCTTCTGGGTTTGTTTCTAATCCCTTTGGTGCCCTTTAGGGCCCTTTGGGAGTCTTTTGGGGCCCTTTTTGGTGTTTTTGGGTCTTTTTTGGGTCTTTTTTTCCTCTTTTCGCATTTTTCGACTTCTTGAAATCCCCTTTGTTTGTTTCTGTTTGTCTTTGTTTGTTTTTGGGCGAAAAAAACCACGAAATGGCGTTTATTTCTCGTGAAAAGGCCCTTTTGGTGTTTGGTTTTGCTTCTGCAGCTCGCGAGGCTGGTGGTGGGCAGCGACCTTTCGCACAGCCTGTGGATCGGGGGTGTCTCTGCGACGGAGCAGGTAATTTGGCGAAAAGAGGCGAAAAAGAGTCCTTTTGCGTGGAAATATGAGACAATTGGAGCTCGAAGTGAAGAACTTTTAGTGCCATTTAACTGGAAATGATGCAATTCGCAATTTGCGAGTCTTTGCAGCTTTCTTGGACTCATAATATGCGAGTTTTGGCACTTTGGGGTTTGCAGTCGTTTGTGGTTATTGGGGGTTTGCCAATTTAATTTAATTTAATTCAATTTAATTTAATTTAATTCGCTTCTTTTGTTTGGGATTCAATTTTAATTGACAATGGATGCTTTAGTGTTTCAGTCTTTAATGATAAATTAGGGTTTAGGGTTTAGGGTTTAGTGTTTAGGGTTTGGGTTCAGGTGCACGAGATAAACCGGCGGCAGATCGACGCAGCTGTCTGTACACCCGGGAGAGTCGACGAGTTGTGTTTGAGAGGAAAAGTCTCTTTAGAATTTGTTCAACTTTTGGTTTTGGACGAGGCGGACGCAATGCTAGACTTGGGGCTGCAGCAAGTCGTGGGTCCTCCAAACCCTTTTTTAGGGTTTAGAGTTTAGGGTTTAGGGTTTACGGCCTGGGGCCTGGGGTTTGGGGTTCAGGGTTTGGCGCACGCGGTCCGGTGTTTAGCGTCTGGGGTTTGGGGCTCGAGGGACGTCTCAAGGGTTCAGGGTTTAGGGTTTAGGGTTTAGGGTTTAGGGTCCGGAAGGGTCTCGGGCTTCCACCCAAAGAGCCCTGCCCACTGCTCCGGGCCACCCCTCAGATCCTAGCGTCTAAGGTTTAGGGTTTAGGGTTTAGGGTTCAGGGTTTAGGGTTTAGGGTTTAGGGTTTGTGCAGATGACGGAGTTGGCGACGAGTCGAGACATGCCTGCGACTCGCCAAACCCTTTTATTTTCGGCAACATTTCCGGAAAAACTTTTATCTCTTTTGCCTCTTGTTTTGAAGTCTCCTTATTTCAAAATTGAAGTTCAAAATGACCAAAACAAGCTGCAGCAACAAGCCCCCATCCAGCAGGTCCAACTTGTTTTATTTCTTTGTATTTCTTTTTCTTTTTCTTTTCTTCTTCTTTTCTTCTTCTTTGGTTTTTTCTAATTCCTCTTTTCTGGGTTTTTTTGCTCTTTTAGTTCTTTTTTTAGGCCTTTTCTGCTCTTTTATTCTTCTTTTTGGCGCTTTTTGGCTTTTTAATTCTTCTTTTTGATTTTTCTTTTTGATTCTTCCTTTTAATTCTCCTTTTTAATTCTTCTTTGTAATTATTCTTTTTGGTTCTTCTTTTTAATTCTTCTTTTTGATTCTTCTTTTTGTTTCCCTTCTGTCTTCTTTTGTTTCTCTTTTTGGTCCCTTCTTTTTATTTTCTTAATTCTCCTTTTTCCTCTTTTTGATCTTTTTTGTCTTGTTTAATCCAATTTTTGTCTCTTTTTGTTCCCTTTAATGAATTTTTTAAATTTGATTTAAATTAATTTAATTTCATTTTGTGTCTTGCTGTTTGAACTCCTGTCCCCTTCCAACTCCATTTATTTCCATTTTGATTTCTTTTTCTTTATTTCCAATTATATCTGTCTCCAAATTGAACACCAAATTATCCATCTTCTATCACTTCTTTGAATATCTGTTAATATCTTTTAATATCTGTCATCACTTCTTTTTCGTGTCTTTTAAAATCTTTGAATATCTTTGAATATCTTTTAAGATTTGTTCATCTTTCAGGAGTTCAAGTGGCTACCAACATGGGAGGAAAAGATTGCAGAATTAATCAAAGACATCAAAGACTTCAAAGAATCCACCCAAGACCCAGGGGCCCCCGCCCCCCCAGGGGCCCCCTCCCCGGCAGGG